TTGTTTAAAAATAGGTTCGCGTTGAAGTTAGCGATAAGGACACGTGAATGAAATCATCAATGAGTCAGCAGTCAGCACAATAATAATAGTTGTTAAAAAGCGGAAATGTACTTGGAGTTTGAATTTTATTGTTACCTGCACGGCCATTAAAAAAAAAAAAAAATCTATATTTTACACGGTGATACCAATTTTTATTATAAAGATGTATGGATTTTTCTATTTATATCAGAATTTATATTTATTAAGGCACATCATTAATAATTTAAAAACTTAAATTATTGGATAGTTGATCTATTTTTCTATACAAATATTTTATATTCTTCACTTCAGACATTAAGATATATTAAGAAATTACTGATCTCATTCGTCAATACATTGTTGAGAATAGCTTTTTCTTATTTTAATTTTTTTTATCTTTCATAAGATATTTAAAGAACTAGACTAATCCTATACTGTTTTGTCGAACGTACAAAACGAAAACAATTACTCAAAAATGGTTTTTTTTTGGTAATAAATGGTTTTTTTTTTTTTTTTTTGGTATAGATGGCAACAAATAATGTACTTTTGAAATGATTGATATTTTATAATTTTTTTATTAAATAAGTCAAAAATAATATTTCACTGTATAGTGCTATTGTGAAAAATTAATTTACAAGTATTTTTATCGCGTAAATTTATCATCACATAGTCTCTCAAGTTTTAGAAATTGGTTAAATCAAACCATATACTTTAATTATGAGCATAACACTTTCATACTTTCAATTTGTAGTCGCTCTAAGTCTCTCTGTTCAGGTCATGCATGCTTATTAATTAGATATCAACTAGTTACATACTCATGCTACGTTACGATTAGACAATCATTATATACACGAGTTAATAATTCGTATGGTATGATGTGAGTAGATGTTTTGTTTCGAAGATTAATGTAAATTGAATCTATATATTAAGCGGACTTGTTTGATTTATATATATTTATTAACAAAATAACTTATAATATTAGTATAAAAATTTATATTTAAATAATCAAGAGGTTCTTTAAAAACATTAATTAAGCTATTTTATTTAAAAATATAGGTTTTAGAATATGAAAAACTAAATAACAAATAGTTGGCGTTATGTGTGCAAATATAATTAATTTCTAGCAAAACTATATATATATATATCATACTTAGCGATTCGAGTGTATAAAAAAAAACCCACTTAAATCGTATGGAATATATCGAAGTGAATAGTTTTAAATAAAAACTACTATAAAATTGGTTTCGATAAATTCGATTATATATATATATATATATATATATATATAACCAAATAAAACATGTGAATTTTTAATCGAATTATTATTTTTTTTAAAAAAACTAAGTCAAATTATTTTTTTAATCGATTATTATTTTTTTTAAAAAATAAGTTAAATTATCTAAAACACACTTTGAGCTCTTTCTCTCTCATCGAATTTATGTATATAACTACGTTACTCTCATTTAAAAATCATAAAAATAATCAATCGTATAAATTATAATAATATATTTTAAAATTTTATTTCAAAATTCATATATAAAAAAATAAAATTTATTAATAAATAAAATTAATTCGATGATAATTTTAATAAGAAACAAACACTTGAAGAAATAAATTTTAAATGATAAAAATAATATAATCAAACATATGTGTTGAAACTAAAATCTAAAAAAAATTATATATATATATTCTATTATCGTCAAATTGTATGTAAAACTAAAAAAAATGATGATCTTTTTTTTTATATTTTCACATATAATTTCATGATAAAAAAATATAAAAATAAATTATTAGAAGGAAAAAGAAGAAGAAGGCAAAGGTTGATTGGGACCGGTGTGCGAGCGAGCAATCCCTAAAATAAATAAATAAATAAATAAATTTATAGTAAATGATTGTAAGATCGGCCAGGCTGCTACGGTAAATGATCGTGAGCCGGGCCCTAGCCTAAAAGAAAAAAAAAATTGATACGAGTAAATGAACGGTGACACTCTTGGATCTTTTAGCTTTTTTAGTAATAATTTATTCAAACTCACACATGTAAATTGTAAGATTGTGATTGAAAATAATTGATATATCAATTTTTGCATAGCCATTACATTTGCTTAATATAAATACATAAAATGTCAGACAAATTTAAAAAGTGAAAAAATTAGCTAATACATAAATTATGTATCAAATAATATAAACTATCATGAACTAAAATGAAATAAAACTCTTTTTAATAAGAAAATAATCCATCTTATTTTGAGCTTTGAATTTCAAAACACCAAATTCTTTTTATTGAATTGTAAATAAGTAATTTACAATAATGAAATCTAATATGCTCTCAATTTTTATGTTTTTTCCTTAAAAAATTTTCATATGCTTATTTTCATCATTGTTTCTTTATAACCAATTGTATCTTAATTTCGTCAACTTAATTTGTTACATAATCATTCACTTATTTTCTTGGTTCATTTTATTATTATTATTTTTATATAATAACGAAATTTCATCCTTATCCTCAAACAAATCTTCAGTGAACTTTTCTTTCTTTATTTTTTTTAATGAAGAGTTTATATGTTAGATTGTTACGTTAATGGTATTAGTATATGAATTATGTGAAGAAGATATTATGACACCCATATGCAGAATATTTACAATTTCGTTTTCCTTCCTTAAAAGTATGTTGAGTAGGATTCTTGATAAGGATTCTAAATCTAATCGTCTTTTATAATTTTTTTCATACTGCCATTTACATACATACTTTTTTAAAAAAATTTAAATTTTATATTTTAGACTCCAAACTAATACTCAAAAAGTGTTTTTTATTTTCCTGTTTAATTAATTCCAAGCTGGAGTTAACTATTGGAAATATTTTTTTTCTTTTATCCTGTTATTGGAGGAATTATATAAAAAGGAAAACTGGGATGTGATTCTAATATATAGAAGTAGGATCAATTTTATTTTAAATAGGATTGAAATTTGAAAAATGGAGAAGAATGCCCTTTTTTTTTTTTTTTTTTTTAAGAATTGAATGAATAACTAACGTGTAGCTATTATATTGGTATTGGGAAAGGAATCTAGTAACCAGCCAGGATTTAACAGAACTAAAACACCAGATAAAAAAACATAAGTAGATAAAAAAACATAAGTAGAACTAAAAGCACGATTAAAAAAAAAAAAAAAAAAAAAAACCATTATAGTCTCTTCAAAAGTTTACCCTCTTAAATTAAATAGTTCTTCTACCTTCAAAAAACTAATTAATTAGTTATTTAGTTTAATATTATTTTGTTTTAGAACGTGTTTTTTTTCCTCATCAATTTTTTTCATGGTGTTCACTTTTTTTTTTTTAATAAAAAATTGAAAAGAATATAAAATGAACATACTGGACTAATTAATTAATTTTTTAAATTAGCGAAACTATGTAATTGTACTAAGCTGTCAGAAAAGCAGCTAGTAATGACGAGGGGGGGGGGGGGGGGTGGTGGCTATGTGTGAGGGTTGGAAGTAGCTGTGGATTTTCAAAACAAAATCATGAAACCGAGCAGCCGAAAAAAAGTAAAAAAAAAAAAAAAAAAAAAAATCAAGGCGCGTTTAGACTTGTAGTTACCTCACAAAGCTCTTAGGAGAGGAGCCATTCTTGTTATAGAATGATAAGTATTTTATTGTCGGGAAAAACAAGTGGGTGGATATTGAAGTAAATTATAAATTAATTAGCCCTTTTAATTTTAAGAAATAAATAAATTATTTTTTAAAAAATATTATTTATTTTTTAATTATTATTGACTATGCTTAATATTATTTTTATTCTATAAAATATCTTTTTTTCCTCATAAATCTTTGTATAGTTTTTTTGCTTTTTTTAAAACAAAAAATCAAAATAAATTAAAAAATAACTAAAATTACAAATAAATTTAAATACATGAGAATTAAATAATTAATTTTTAAAATAAAAAATGAATTAATTCATTATTCGAAACAAAAGGGAGTAATTTGTAATTTACTCGTGGACATTGTGGTGCCCCGTCAAGGTTTGAAACTCAAGAAAACAAAGCAATGCTTGTTAAGCCAAGTCTTCTGGCTGTTCTGGACTTCAAAAACACACGAGAAGGCATTGCTTACTAAGCGACGCCAACGTACGGTGTATAGCAATTTCTTTTTAATAAATAAATAGCATAGGCTAAGCAATTACATATCAATATACACATTTGACAGCCGAAAACTCTCAAATACCTATCTAATATAATCGTGATTTGGCCATATTGGCATTAGTTTTTTTTTTTTTTAATTATTATTAGTTTTAATATTTTAGAAATTCAAAGGAGATGTTTTAATGGATGGCTAAATAATTAAGGAAGCAGCCTGCCAACTCAAATATGGATCATTAATGAGCCTCAAAGGCCGGTATATATATATATATATCAACCTAATTCACTAAATAGGAAAAATAAAAAATAAAATCACAGCATTGATTTGGCGAATTTCAAACATGCAGTTCAATGTATATTTGAATTCCTTTGAAAAGGGCACCATAAATTTGAAAAAGCATTGTGAATTTTAACAGTAAATTTGAGGATACCACTTGACAGTTAACACTAACACCTAGAAAAAGATCATGCAAGTTAACTTTCTCTCTGTATACAGCCTCCTCCAACTTCTAGCATATCTTTAATAAGATAATACCAGAATTTTATTTTCAATAGATTTATATGGATGGATTTCATTTAAATAAAAAAGAAGAAGAAGAAGATTAATGTGGATGGACTTCTGTAAGTGGAAAATTTTCCTGCAGGGTTGTTGTGGTATCCCCAATTAATATGAGATCGCTGACTTAATTTTGAAAATAAGCAACCTCTATATACTAGTACTAAATAAACCTTTATAACATTTTTTGTTTGTTTATTAGCGAAGGTTAACTCCCAAGCTAAACTAGAGAGCAACGTTAACCCCATTTTTGTTTAAAAATTAACTGCTTGGACTCAAAGCTGCTATATAATGCCATGAAGGAGTCATATCTTCCGATATCCCGAGAGAGAGATCAGACAGAGAGGGAACAGATGGAGATCATCAAAAGCAGAGTGCTCATTGTAGGGGGGACTGGGTACTTGGGAAAGAGATTGGTGAAGGCAAGTTTAGGTCAGGGTCATGAAACATACGTACTCTATAGGCCAGAGATAGGTGTTGATATTGAAAAGGTTCAAATGTTATTGTCATTCAAGGGGCAAGGAGCCCATCTTGTTCAAGGTTCTTTCAATGATCAGAAAAGCCTTGTCAATGCAGTTAAATTAGTTGATGTAGTCATCTGTGCAATTTCTGGTGTCCATATTAGGAGCCACCAAATCCTCCTCCAACTCAAGCTTGTTGATGCTATCAAAGAGGCTGGAAATGTTAAGGTATATCCATATAGTTTTAAGGGTCTAATTAATATGCATATCGAGATATCTATAACACAAATTAACAAATGAGTCATCTGAGGCATACGTTCATAGATGAATCACTTTATCTTTGGTTATTTCCAACTTTTCTTCTTCTTCTTCTTCTTTTTTCCCAATCTCTCTCTGTGGTTTGATCATTTTTCATCATCATTTATCTAATACTATATATTAAACAAATACTTTTTTTTATATATATCTAAAAAACAAACAAATACTTATTGAACACATACCTTTAAGTACTTAAGCACAAATAACGAAAGGGCTAAATATGTGACAGAGATTTTTGCCCTCCGAATTTGGCACTGATCCTGCTACCATGGAGAATGCTATGGAACCTGGAAGAATTACATTTGACGATAAAATGGTTGTTAGGAGAGCAATTGAAGATGCTGGGATTCCTTTTACGTATGTTTCTGCAAACTGCTTTGCTGGTTACTTTCTTGGAGGTTTGTGTCAACCTGGATACATCATTCCTTCAAGAGAACATGTATCCATACTGGGAGACGGCAATGAAAAGGGTACCTTAATATTAATTAATTACATCATAGATATTTTTTTCTCTGATAATTTCTGTTCAATTAAAAAGCAAACTTTCTCTTAGATATATATTACCACGAATATAAGATATGCTCTAATTTCTTTTCCTACGTGCGTATTGTATTTGATTCGACAGCAATTTATGTTGATGAAGATGACATAGCCACGTACACTATCAAGACAATAGACGACCCTCGGACTCTGAACAAGACAATGTACATTAGGCCACCCAAAAACATACTCTCTCAAAGAGAAGTAGTTCATATATGGGAGCAACTCATCGGGAAACAGCTGCGTAAATCTTCAATTTCCACGGAAGAGTTCCTAGCTTCCATGAGAGGTGAGATATATATATACATATGTAAACTTGACTAGTTTAATTTCTAGCATGCATGCTTTAATATTAGTAAAAGTGACAATAATTCGAATTAATTAATTACCCTTGATAATTAATGCCTAATTAATTAACTTGCTTGTCTTGTTTCCATGAACAAAAATGAAGAACAAGATTATGCTGAGCAAGTTGGATTGACACATTACTACCATGTTTGTTACAAGGGATGCCTTACGAAGTTTGAAATTGGTGATAAAGGAGAGGACGCTTCGATGCTTTATCCAAAAGTCAAGTACACCACAGTGGAGGAGTACATGAAACGTTACCTATAAGTTAAAATTCTCCAATCTATATATTTGTAATTCTGTTTTTACTTCTTAAGATGATGAAGGGGATTCAAACTCAAACCCCGCTTCTTCCTCCATGCTTTTCAAGTGTAAGATACCATTGGAATAATGTCCATCAATTGGTGAAGGTGTAATTTATTGCTATAATTAATGCAAACGACCTTTGTTTCGTGTGTTTAAAATTAACCTGGTGAACCAATAGTTTATTTGTTTAGTAATAAACGAATTGGTTTCTAAATGAATTTTTTAGTTAATCTGCGCACATGGTTTAAATTCTAAAATTATATTTATTAAGAGTGTTTAAAAATTATCGCTTTTACTTCAAAAATGATTAGTTTTATCTCTAATGTGAGATAAAGATACCATTAAAATAAAAAAATTAGCATGTTGAAGAATGAAGTAAATTGCAATTAGTCTCTATTTTTTAAAAATGAATTAGATAGTCCCTTTAGTTTTAAAAACTAATTAAATAATCTCTTTTGTTCCTTCAATGTTCTTTTTCAATTTTTTTTTATTTTAAAACATAGAAAAAAAGTAAATATTATAGAAATATTGATGAGAAAAGAGATAATTTTTGAAATAAAATAGTATTAAATTAAGTATGATCAAGACTAATCAAAAACTAATTAGTTATTTAGTTTTTAAAACTAAAAGAATTATTTAATTAATTTACAAAACTAGAGCTACTAATTTATAATTTACTCTGAAAAATGCGACATACTACTTGTGTTTCCAATTTTAAACTAAAGATTTATGGTTCAAGAAGAAATCTCAATCATAAAGCCAAAACATTTGATTCACTAGTTGAAATTTGGCTTCCTTTTTTTTTTTTTTCTTTTTCTTTTAACGGAAAGGTATCCTTGTATTGAGCTTTCGGATACTTAGAAAATTCCCAAAGACATGCATTTCTAGGCTAGTCCCTTCGGGATCATGTCCACATTATTAATTAATTTGATTATGTTGCAAGTGATTGTATATATCTTCACATATATGTTGTCCTTTCAACGTAAAATTTCGGGTTAGGGATGACCAAATTTCTTCTACATATGGGTTTCCAACAACCATTGCTTCTATTGGGCTGAATTTGGATCCACATATATATGTTGGATAAATGAAAAATAAAAAACTGATCAAAGGACAATTATAATTGGAGCCGTAAAATCATTATTTTTAAGGATATTACTTTGCATCATTTGGATAAAATCAATCCTTTTACAATTAAAATCAAAAGCAGAAGCAACAAAAATAAAAAGAACCCAATAAAGAACTATGAAGCAGAGGAGAGAGTTTTTTGATGTCTTTCAACACTAGCAGCAAATGTGATATTTATAAGCTAATTTAGGCTGGTTTAGTGAGAGGAAGGTAGGGATAATGGTGGAGCAAAATCTAGAATAATAAATGATTATAATGTACATGTTACATGCCCATAAAATATGAGTTATCTTTATCTTGAATAAATCTAGGTTTATATCAGAAAATTTAAATGAGTGAACTAAAAAAAAAAACTTGGATTAGGCCAAGAGGGGCAAACGAGTCATTTTATCTTAGTTTGGCCTAGCTGGTATGTGCGTGAGCCCAATATTTACCTTTTACAAGCTCATAACACACTTATCTTAATAAAATATTATCTAATGTCTTTTTTTAGCAATGTGAAATGAAAAATTTTAACAATTTTTTGAAATATTCACAACAATATATGTTTATTTTATATTACTAGCAAGGGTCACGTTAAATTAATTTTTCATTTTACCTTATTTAGTTTTAGAATTTTAAAATATTTATATGAATAAAATTATAATTTATATCCACTTAAAAGAATTTCAATGGGAAAAGAAATGAGTTGGCAATAAATTCTCATATTGCACAGCCAGATGGGTGATCCCTTGCCTTTCATTTTTGTATGTTACGTGTTACTACATGATTGGTGAATTTTCCAATTCAGTCATTGGCAAGCTAGCTGCACCGGGGAAGGGAAGGAAGTCCATCTCACATCATCTTTTTTTTTTCCCTAAATAAAGAAACAAATAAAACCCGTAAAATGCATATGGTCATGACGCAATCAAGCTCCGACAGAAATGAGAAAACCAGAAAAGCCCAGCCAGGAATTGACTTGGACCTTAAAATCAACAACCAATCAAACCCCACCATTGCTAGCCCACCCACCACCGCATGCAACCTTGCACACTAACGGCTCAAAAAATTCCCAACTGAAAAAGCCCCTCTCTATCTGTGGTTCAAAAAAATAATGGCGTTATCCTACGCCACCACAAATTCCACAATCGCCTCTTTACCTCCAATTGCAACTCCTTCATTTCCAAAGAAAAAGGCAGTGAGTAACAACTGAATTCCACAACATTTGATTTTTTTTTTGGATGTAGTTACTAATTTCTTGTTATGAATTTGATTTTTGTAACGGCCAGAGTTTCTGGATAAAAAAGGATGCACGTTTCAGTTTTGAAAGAATTGCTAGTAAATTAACAGTATCCAGAAATGAAAGTTCTTCGATCGAATATGATGTGCCATTTCCTAGCGATTACGAGGAGCTTCTTGATCAAGTAAGTAAGTTAGTATTTGTTTGTGCTAATGGTTGAATTAGTATTGAGTTTTTTTTTGGAATTTTTTATTTGATCTTTCTCTCTCTGTGATCGCGTGTAGGTAAATTGTTTGGAATGTGCTTACTTTGTGTTTATAATTACTGACAGGCCAAAAAAGCAACTGAATTGGCTTTTAAAGATAACAAACAGCTGATGGTTAGTAACTAACTTAGCAGCCAGCAATTTCGTTCAAGTATTATGGAAAATACCAGTACATTGGAAAATTTTACTAATCGTTCTACATTCTGTGACCGACGGGTATTTTGTTGCAGGAGATTGAATTCCCAACAGCCGGACTCGAATCAGTACCGGGTTCTCTTCACTTGCCTTTAACATCTTCCTACTTTATTTTTGTTTTAGTTTTTCTCATTTTATTACATGGTGTATCAGGCGATGGCGAAGGAGGAATAGAAATGATTGGAAGTATGCAGTTAATTCGTGAGTTTTGTGATCGTTTTGTAAGTCCAGAAAAAGCTACAAGAACCAGAATTGTAACTATCCTTCATTTTGTTCTACTCTTTTTTATTCGTTAATCTAGATAAGGAAAATGATAACATTTTTTTTATATTCCTTTTGAAAATGATTTCATATCTAAGAAATTTTATTCCCAAGTAGAGTTTTGCATATCGTCTGAGGGGTCTTAGTTAGTTCTTGACTCATTTGATGCTGTTGATCAATCTCAACTTGGTCTATTCCTTCAAGCATTTTATTCTGTGTATAGACCTTTCCATGGATTTGTTGCAGTTTTTTCCAGAGGCTAATGAAGTGACATTTGCACGACAATCAGCGTTTGAAGGATCTTCACTTAAGTTGGACTATTTGACAAAGCCATCTTTTTTTGAGGATTTTGGTTTTGTTGAAAAAGTCAAAATGACAGACCGTGTGAAGCCAGAAGATGAACTGTTCCTAGTTGCCTATCCGTATTTCAACGTTAATGGTAGCTTCAAACTTTCTGTCGTGTTGATTCAAGCACCATAAACTTGTCTTTTCTATTCATTTTTTTCAATTCAGAAATGCTTGTGGTGGAAGAGCTTTACAAAGAAGCTATTGTTGAAACAGTCCGAAAATTGATTATATTCAATGGAGAACTTGACCGAATAAGGTCTGGCTGTATCCTTTTCGAAACTTTATTTGTTTATTTCCTCATTTTAAATTTAAATTTCAGCTTTTAGAACTTTTCAGTGCCATCTATACTATTTCACTGCGTTCTGTGTTCATCAATTCCTCTTCAAAATCAATTTCTGGGTTTTCGTAACTATAAAACTACACTCTTCAAATTTCCTCCTGATCCTTCTTCAACTCCAAGCATCATGGCCTGTGTTCTTTTGTTAGTTAGTTTCTGAATTTCAGAGATTAAGTCAAATCTTATGTTCCTTAGACCATGGTGTCCTTGATTGAACAAAGATTATCCATCCTTTTTCTATCCCAAGCTTGCCTCTCTTTTGAAGACACTCTTCCCAGTGATGGAGACTGTATACTACGTTCACAATTTTAAAGGGCGCAGTGGAGGAACCCTTTTCAGGTTTGTAGCTGCTACTTGGTGAACTTCTGCAGTTATTCCTAAAGCACTTATGGATGATCATTTTTGTTGTTTTTCAAAGTTCAGAAGTTGCTTGCAACTAACGGTTGTTTGGCTCAATACAGTACCTATTTTCTTATTGATTTCGACCTAACTTCCAATTTCAAAACCGTTTTCAGGTGCTACCCAGGTCCCTGGAAAGTCCTACGTAAAGTGAGGAATGCTTATATATGTTTGCATCAACAGGAAGCTATGCCCTCCCTTAAAGAAGTTGCCCTGGATATTCTGCCATCAGTTTGATAATTCGGTATTCAATTGATCTCACAGCAAATTTCACTTTATAATAATGATGTAGTAACAGTTTTACTCAGTGCTCCTTTTCTTTTTGTAAGCTGTCCATATTACAGATTTATATGACCCAAGGTGTAATATTCATATGGCTGCAAGCCTATTCATCCTTTATGCTACTGCCAACTTGTTCTGCTTCGGCCAATGAAGAATCATCTCGATATAGAAAAGGTATGCTATTTTTATAATTTCTAATTATGAATGACATGTTTATCATATTTGTCAGTGCCATTAGCTGATCATGACTCCTGTTTCTTCTGGTCTTTAGGCTCAAGCATATATCTTCCAATATCTTAAAAACTCTGAATAATTTTTTATAAGTTTATTTCATTCTGACCATTTTACTGTTTGAATGAGTGTGTGGAGTGTGGTCTGATAGGTTTGCAATAGTTTAGGAGTAACATTCATGATTTAGAGGATTTTTGAGTGTTTCCTGCCTTGTAGTTTCTCTTGTTGCGGGAGTCAGGTTGTTGTGCTTTACTTTCATATGCATATCAAAACTATTCCTATTCATTCCCTCCTTTGCTTGTCATAAGTGTTCTCTTTATGAAGTCCCTTGGCTGGAGTGTGACTGATCTTGTTAGTTTTGCACTGGGGTCCAAGAAAATTTTGGCTCAAGTCTAGCTAGCAATATCCTCTAATATGGCTTGATTAGCACCCCGGTGGTGCAGGACAAGAAAGAATACGGGAAAAACCTGAGGAAGATCAATCCTTAATATCATCAATTGACAATCAATTATCAAAAAGAATCGCTTAAAATATAACACGATATACGGGCTCCAAAAACCTTTAATAAAATCTTAGAACAGTTGGGAACAGTAATTCTTATATAGAAGAACCATCTAAATGAGATACAGAACTAAATTATTAACAATAGCCATTTAAACTACTCAACTAGTGATTAAAGCTACTCCAATTACTCGAAATTTGGTCATAATTCAAATCCATGTTTTAGATTTTGTGATGCATTGACTTTCATCAATTTAGAGCCTGCCGCATTGTCAACTCTGATATATACGCCTAAGCTTTTTCTTCACAATTGGGATGACTGGCAGTTAACTTGTCTTCCTTGTTTCAGGGTTTGGGAAGAACTGCTCATAATTATTAACCTCAAGATGATTAAGGTGTTTTGAGTCATTGACTGTGAGTGGGAAGTTTTTTCTTTTTGTAAACTCGTGGAAAATGTTATTTGAATTTTGTGCAACTTATGAAACCCTGAGGAATCTTATGTGCTGTCTTGGTTATATGTATGCATATAGGTGAAACATAGATTTTCCCAATTTCCCCATCGACTTGGGGTATCCACTAGATTTTCCCATGAATAGATGTATATTTGAGGTTTTTAAATTAATTTTTTATACGCTGAGGAACCTTTTTTCTACCATCATTATTATTTTTTCTTGCATTATATCTCTTTCAAATTATAATTTTTTTTATACATTAACTTAGTCATGAAAAAATTATTAGTGCAATTAATTAAAAAGACTTGTTTTATAAATATGCATTCCTTCACATCCATTCTCTCTCTCGCCAAGTGTCATAATTCTAACTTCAGTATTGAAGAGTCATGTCATGCTCGGACTTTTTCGACTTCATCATTAGTAAAATTATCTACTAGCATTAGGCAAATCAGAGTAAATTATAAATTAATCCTTCTAGTTTCAAAAAATTTTAGTACCATCCATTTCAAAAATTATTATTTAATTTTTTAACTAGTATTGAATCTGTTTAATTTAATATTATTTTTATTCTATAAAATCTTTTATTTTTGCATAAACTTTTCATAATTTCTCTTTCTTTTATTTCTTAAAACAAAAAATTAAAATAAATTATAAATAAAATTTAAAATATAAAAAATAAATAATTAGTTTTGAAAAAAAATAATAATTAATTCATTTCTCGAAACAAATAGGACTAACATATCGTGTAACCATTTTGGTTTCGGAGATGGATGAATATTAAGCATAGCTAGCTCATGAGTAATATCACTATGCAGCAGCCCATTCCCCACAAACACAAATACATACACATACGTGTGTTCCATGGCTAGCTAGGCAAGTATATTTTGCACACTGGTGGGTCTGCACTCTTGCAGTCTCCATAATTTCTCTCCGCTTACCATTCAAGATGCTCTCGCCTTTCCTCTCCGATAACAGTGGCTATTTGCTAGGTGTCTAAATTCCCATCAAAACAAAACAGCTTTCTCGAAATAAAACATGGAAACGGGACGTGATATCCATTTTGTCACAGGTCATGGCCAAGGCCATCTCCACCCTTGTATGGAGCTCTGCAACAACCTCAATAAGCGCAATTACCACACTACCCTCGTTCCCTCTTATGCCCTCTCCTCTGCCATTCCTTCCTCTTTCAACCAAAACCCACTTACCACCGTGGCTCAATTCGCCTCCTCTACTAGACCCTTACCCGGTTCCGACCCCTTAAAAAGCCAACAAGCTGCCGAGGACCTCCGTGCCCACCTCGCGAACAGGTGCAAATTTGTGCCATTATTGATTTCCAACTGGGCTGGACAAAAGAAGTTTTTTGGAAATTCAATATTTCAGTGATTGGGTTGTTTACTTTTGGCGCGAGTGCTGCTGCCATGGAGTGGGGTGCGTGGAAGGTCCAAATTGGTGATGTCAAGCCGGGGAGACCCGTCTACTTCCCGGGCTGCCGGAAGAAATGGCTATCACTTATTGGGACCTCAAAAGAAAACCATTTGGGCCGCCAGGTGGGCTGGGTCCAAGGCCAGGTGGAGGAGGCCCACCAAAACCGGGTGACAAACCTCCATGGGTCCCAGAAATTGAAGGGTCAGTGGCTTTGATGTTTAACACGTGTGATGATATCGATGGTCCGTTAATTAAATACATGGAGGAGGAAATGGGGATGCCAACGTGGGGTGTGGGCCCACTATTACCCGAGAAGTATTGGCAATCGTGGGATAGTTTGATCAGCGATCCTGCGATTTTACAGCAAAGAAGGGAATCAAATTTGAGTGATGATGAAGTGATCAAATGGTTGGATTCAAAGCCACGTGGATCGGTTTTATATACATTGCTTTCGGTAGTCAAGTGGGTTCTACTATAGAGGAATATAAGCAATTGGGTCAAGCTTTAGAGAATTCGACCCGACCATTTATTTGGGTAATCCAACCCGACAAGAAATATCGTCCTGATCCGTGTTTGGATAAAGGAGTTGGAGATAATATGTGGATGGGCGGCACGACTGAGCCATAAATTAACGGGTGGGTTTTTATCACATTGTGGATGGAATTCTACCATGGAAGCGATCAGATGTGGAGTCCCTGTTTTGGCATGGCCCATTAGATGTGACCAATATTACAACGCCAAGTTGGTAGTTAATTATCTTAAGGTGGGATATGGAGTGGCTGATGATTTATCACAGATGGTTAAAAAGGATGATATAATCAAGGGAATTGAGAGACTGATGAGTGATGAAGAAACGCGTTTTAGGATGGCAGGAAGGAAGTCAAAATTTGATCGTGCTTTTCCTGCAAGTTCTGAGGTTGCATTGGATGCTTTTACTGAATTTATTGACCCAAAATCAAGTTAGTAATCATTAATATAGCGTAGGATTTTAGCTACCAAATTTGTCTTCTTTTTTCATTTTATTATTGATGATTACCTTCTTCTTGTAAATTGTTAATATGTTGTTATTGCTTTTTCAAGAAAAGTGGATTTTTAGCGGATGATACTAATCTTAAATAATATGTTTATCTAAAATATCAATTATTGAATTTATATCAGCCATCCAAAAAAACAAGGGAATCTCATAAATTTAGTTATTGATGTTTTCTGAGGATCAATTTGGTAAAAATATTAGAAAAATTAGTATTGTTCCCTCTAAAATTTATCCACACTAACAAAGCAAGTAAGAAAATATCAAGACAAAAAACCTCAAATTATGATTATAATTTAAAAATAAAAAAAGTAAAAAATAGTTTGTATTATGGGAGTTTTGTTAGGTTTTTTTTTTTTATAATTTTATTTGTTCATACTATAAATAGAGATAAATATCAATTGCATTTATAGCCGTCACTTGATAAACTTTAATAAAAAAATTTTAATATAGTCGTTGACTAAGTATTATTCTTGAACCTAAAATTTTTTATGTTGTTTAATTGTGTTTGTCTTTGTATTATGTGTGTGTAAGAGAGAGAGAGAGAGAGATTCATTACCTAACAAGTTTAATTCACACAAACAAAAATATTCAAATAAATATATTATGTGAATAAATAATATCTAAGGATAATCTAGTGTACTTCTAGCATTCTTCCTTGGAAAAACATGGAAAGAGAGTACAATGCTTTATTTTATTTTCTTAAAGCAAAAATTATCTTAATTTTTCTTTATCAGATTAGTTTCTTTAGATCGCCGTAATTTTTCTGTTTCTTTTTTGCTTTTTCGCCTTTTATGTCCGTCATAGTTTGATTCTAATCACCGAAGACGTCCAATATTAAAGAATTTCCTCATCAATGGAACTAGTTACGACGATCCTACGGTTAGCCTTCTAAGTTCTGACGCCTAAAAGAAAGAAAGCCACTCATTTTATCTGATAAAAGGCAATCAAAACGCCAACACGGTTTTTCTTTACCTAGCACACAATTAGCCTCGTGCCTAACTAATTAATTACTGCAACTAACAGTCAAAACAATCCTTCATCAATCCCTTTCTTTATGATCAAGTTTTCTTCATCTTCCACATCCTCCTATAAATTAAAAGCTAGTAAGAGGTAAGGTTTCAAGGAAAATTATGGAAACAAAGAAACCAAGATTATCAGTAATGACTCAAGAAGTATGGGTTGTTCCATTTTTTGGGAAGGGCCATCTCCTACCGACTGTGGAACTTTGCAAACACGTAGCATCAAGAAACTTCAAAACCATTCTTATCATTCCCTCTAACCTCTCCTCCAACATCCCTTCCTCTCTTCACCAATATCCACTTCTTGAAATAGCTGAATTACCCTCTTCTCCACCACCTTTGCAGCAGCCAGGACCCGACCCGCTTTTCCCTCCCCATAAGCACCACAACCAGATGGCACAAGGCCTTGAAAACCTCATTTCAACTCGGTCACAATACCCGGAGTCAAGACTACCCGTTTGCGTTATTGTTGATGTAATGATGGACTGGACTCTTGAAATTTTTGAAAAGTTTGAGGTTCCAACCATTGGGTTTTTTACATCTGGTGCTTGCTCAGCAGCCATGGAGTATGCGATGTGGAAGGTCAACCTGGAGGATTTGAAGCCCGGGGAGATCCGTTTACTTCCTGGATTACCGCAAGAAATGGCCCTTACAGACTCCGACCTTAAAAGTAGGCCCCATAGGCCCCATGGGCCTCCGGGTGGTAGAGGAGGTCCACCTGGCTTGGGTGGACCACCAGGTCCAATGGGTGGTTTTCCTAGACCACCAGGCGGTATCGACCCCCCTAAAATGATGGGCCCACCAAAGCCCGGTGCCCCACCACCGTGGTTAGAGGAAGTCAAGGGCTCGATCGCATACATGATCAATACATGTGATGATCTTGAACATCCATTTATTCAATATTTAGCTGTTCAAATTGAAAAACCAATTTGGAGTGTTGGTCCGTTATTACCCGAACTCTATTGGAAATCAGTCGATTCACTTCTTCGTGATCATGAAATTCGAACCGATCCGCGGTCTAATGATATCACCGAAGAGGAGGTGGTGGAATGGTTAGATTCAAAGCCCCCCGGTTCAGTGGTATATGTGTCGTTTGGCAGTGAAGTCGGTCCTGAAATGGAGGAGTGTTCACATTTGGCGGATGCACTGGAAGCATCAAACCGACCATTTATTTGGGTGATCCAACCTGGTTCGGGAAGACCGGGTCCACCGCCACAATTCTTAGAGGGTCAACCTAGTGCAGAGGCTGAGGAAAGTTATTTTCCTCAAGATTTGGACAAAAGGGTAGGTGAAAAGGGTATGATAATACTTGGATGGGCACCACAATTACTGATACTAAGCCATCCATCAACAGGAGGATTTTTATCACATTGTGGATGGAACTCCACCGTAGAAGCTATCGGGCGTGGAGTCCCCATTTTAGCATGGCCTATTAGAGGTGACCAAATGTATAATGCCAAATTGATAGTGAAACATCTCAAAGTTGGATGCATGATTTCTGATGATTTCTCACAATTGAGACAGAAAGACGATATAATCAAGGGAATAGAGAATCTGTTGGGAGATGAAGTTTTCAAGAATAGGGCAGCATCGCTTAGTGCTAAATTTAAGCATGGATTTCCAGCGAGCTCAGTGGATTCTTTGGATGCCTTCAGAGATTTCATTAACCAAAAAGCAGTTGTTTGAATCCCTATGCTGTTTTGCTCGTCAGATCCAAAGAAATAGCTCTATCTTTTACTTGCGTTATTAAAATACTTTTCTCACCACTGTTCCATCAACTATATATTGTCTGTACGAGGAATTGGACAAATGCATGCAATCTCAACTTTAAGCACGGAAACTATTGTGATGGCATGAGCAGGCTGTAGCTGCACAGAAGATCCAGCGTTCTAATAATCTAAAGTTCATATTTTTCATCCTGTCTTGTTTTTGTATTTTACTTCAGTTTAGCTTCCATTTCAACGAGTTTTGTTCCATGACTCATGAGCGTGTTGTGAAAATTATATTTTTCCGACAATTAAACACTAAAATCTTCGCCAACCATGATTTCTTCTAATCATAGACTTTGAAGAGAATTTTTTTTAATTATTTAACAAAGTGACGTAAAATTGAAGAATCCGATTGTATTCCACTCATATGAACTCTATATGTAACTTGATAGAATAACAGAAGTATCAGGATGTCATGTCCCTCTACTTAATCCTATCCTTTTATTAATTTTTTTCAATAATCATATCCTTTTACTCTTAATTTGCATCTTAATTTTATCCATCTGACCAACTTTTTCAGTAACTGTAGCAATTTTCATCAACATACACACATGTGGCATTTAAAAAAAAATCTAAAAAAATCTGAAAAAGAAAATTCCAAAATGTTCTTTTTTTTTTTCTACCTTTAGGTATAGAAATAAATAATTAATTTCATCTCGTCAATTTTTCTTCTTTTTCTTACTCAAATCTGGAAAAAAAATATGCTAAAATGTCCTTTTTATCTCGCTTTTTGCTATGAAAAAAATTTTATAATTTTTTCGTTAGGATTTAAAATAAAATTTTGAAATAATTTTTGTTCTTTCCTATACATAAAAAAATTTCTTTTTGGTTTGAATTTGAGAGAAAGCAAAAAAAAAAAAAAATTTAGGGATTAAATTAATTACTCATTTCTTACATAAAGGTAGAGAAAAGAGGGGTATTTTGGATTTTTTTTTTTTGAGAATTTATTTTTTGAAAAAAATAGCATGTGTCAACATTTTGTGAGTATGTTGCCGTAAATCGATGCGATTATTGAAAAATTGGACTTGAGAGACGAAACTAGGACAAAAATTAAGAATAGAAAGACACAATTATTGAAAAAATTAATAGAATGACACGATTAAGATAAATAAAACAATAGAGCGACATCCTGGACCTTTAAATCGATAACAAAATAGACCTAAATTACCATCACAAAGTAACTCAAATGTGAAGTCTAAACAACTTAATACCCCTTACCAAGATGCTTAATGATCAAAGTTAACTATTATAATTGAATCACTAAATCGATTTATCCAAACGAGATAATGAATATTGTTCACAAAAAAAAAAAAAAAAAAAAGATAATGTTATGAAATAATGAATGTCCATCATCATGTTCATCCACTTTTCATATCCCCACTACTCTTGATTCTTAATATGATTCAATTCATCATTCAATATGAAAAATTGAAAGGGTGATGCAATTGATTATTCACAATCCCTTTCAATTCTCTCCTCAATTTTGAAGCCTATAAATAGGCTTGATTGTTCATTAGTTGGTGTACAAGTTTCCTAGAGAGAATAAGAGAAACTTTGAAGTTCTTATCACTTATATTCACATTATAGTGATTTCATTTTCTTATCATCCTTTTCTTCAATTCTCCTATCATTTCTATTTATTTTATAACACGTTATCAACACGAAGCTCTAACCAATCGAGACAATGGACCATGAGGTATGTATCTACCAAAAGATTCAATTAATTGTTTCAACAATTGGATTGTTTCTACACAAGTGCTCTACCAAAAGATCTAAATTATTTAGATCATTAAGAGGTATGTATCTAATTTATTCATGTACTTTAAATCTATTGATACATGAAATATATATTTGAAAAACTTAAATGATCTAATATATGTTATTTGAAAAGCTTTAATTTTATTATTATATTTGTTCTTATTTTCTAATATTATTATTAGATATTGTATTATAGAATTTTTATCACATCTAACCTCATAAACTTGATTTGGTGACTCTTGATATTTTGAATAAGAATTATTGATTATGAGTGCTTGATTTTGAAAAAATATTATCTACTTTTTATGTCTTGGATATGCTCCTGCAGTAGCATATCGAGAAAAAGAGTTTAAGAAATATTTTGGATTGATTTTATACTTGTTAGTGGCTAAATAAAATAAAAAAGAATAAATCTCATCCAATTGGATCTACTCCATTCCCCGAAGTGAATGTGACAATTTATAATAATTTTAGATATGGATGGAGATGTGGTCATAGCCATGGATATGGTCGAAATAATTATCATTATAATCGTAATTACCATAATATTATATCTCACCACCAAAAGTAGATAACTATGAAAAAAAAGAATAAAAATAGATAAAGTCGGTATTTTAAAAAATAAATATTATAGATATGGAATGAATGAGTATTGGTTGTGTACACGTTGTGTACCAAAGCACCTCATTGAGCATTGTCAAGCCTTATTGAAAAATAAAGAGTAAAATATGAAGATCACTTTTATATATCAAAGTAATAGTAATTGAAATTAATTACTTGTTAGTTTTTCTATTTATAAATAAAATGTTTTATATTTCTTATAATTTATGTCGTATATTGATGGTTACAAATTTATTTGATTATTTATTTATTTGTTTATGTTTATGAGGCATATATTGATTTATTTATTTTATATTGATTTATTTGATTATTTATTTTATATTAATATTATATATGATGATATCGATCTCATAGAAAGCTTTATAAAAGTGACTATATTATTATCTAAAGAGATAGATTTTGAAGGCTCTAGAAGAGCGATTATATCATAACTTGAAGAGATAAATTTTTGAAACTCTAAAAGAGTGAATAAATTATTAATTGAAGAGAAAATTTTTAAAGGCTTTAGAAGACTCGATATATTATTACTTGAAGTGACTAATTTAAAGGCTCCGGAAGAGCAAATATGTTATTATCTAAAAGGATAAATTTATTATGAATGATGTACTATTCTCTTCAAACTCTCATAGAAATTTGTTGAGTTTCAAAGATATTCATCTGAATTGATATCATATCAAGATAGCAAATGTGAATACTTATATGTTATAATCATTATATCGGATAGAAAATATCTATCAAAAAAATTTATCCGTTTTCTCTTCTAGTCTTTATTACAAACATTGAAATGATTGAAACAAATATTATAGTAAACGAAGTTTACTAATTCAAATACTTTTATTATATAACATGACCAGTTATGTTATCTTAGGTCTTTCATAATGCGAAAAAATTATTAAAAATTCATATGGACATTTATCGAAGAGCCGGAAGATTCTTCAATTAAATGAATTTTCATGTTCCGCATGTTCTTAAGACAAATTAATTATTAAGCCATCACCAAGTAAAATTGAGATTGAATCTTCGGTATTTTAGAATATATTCAATGTGATATATATGGATCAATTCATCCACCATGTTGACCATTTAAATATTTTACGATTTTGATAAATACATCCACAAGATGGTCACATATATGCTTATTATCTACTCGAAACCTGACGTTTTCGACATTGCTAGGAAATAATTTGATTTCGAGCATAATTTTTAAATTATGCCATTAAAACAAGTCACCTTGATAATGCTGATGAATTTATTTCTCAAGCATTAAATTATTATTGATTGGCTATTAAAATAAAGGTTGAACATCCTGTTGCTCATGTTCATACTTAAAAAGGTTTAGCAAAATCATTTATCAAAAGGCTCCAATTGATAGCTAAATCATTATTTAAAAATAAAACTTTCTATTTATGTTTGGGGATATGGAATCTTACATGCAACAACACTTATTCGCATATGACCCATAAGTTATCGAAACTTTCTCCTCTTCGATTGATTTATGGTCATGAGTCAAATATTTTTTTATTTAATAATTTTTGGCATTACGGTGTATATCCATAGTACTCCTTCATAACAAAATAAAATGACCACTTAAAGAAGATTGAAAATATATGTTGGATTTGAATCCTCTTCGATCGCTTGATTCATGAACAAGAGGTATTTTTACAACTCGATTTATCGATCGTCATTTTGATGAAACAATTTTTCCAACATTAGGGGGAGAGAATAAGAAAAATATGTGATTGAAAATGTTAAAAAAAAAAAAGATTACATAGTATACTCTATCTTTATATCAATTTGGTACAAAATAATGTGAATCAAAAGTTCACAAGATAATTCGGTTATAAGGTATTATAAACCAATTGTTAGATGTATTCTCATATCTCGAAAGAGTAAATAAAATGCATGTCCTCGTTGAGAATGCTTTTATTAGAATTGATGTCCTAGAAAGACGGTCTATTAATATTATAGCTAATGAATTTAAAGCACGCCCGAAGTGTAGAAGATCGATCGATTCTAAAGATAAAAATCCCTAAAAGAAAAGGACAAGATGAAAATATAAAGGATGTAAATATTCACAAAATGGTCCAAGATATTTTTGATAATAGGCTTCCGGAAGAAGTCCAAATGCTTGAAAAAAATCAAGAGATTTTGATAAATTATGTCAATACATGGAGAAAATAGGAGAGAAATATTTATTGATAAAATTTTTGTATGTAAAGTTATGATTGATATTTTGAATGAAAATAAGAATCCCGAGCATAAATTATTGAAGAATATTGACATAAAGATGATTAGCCTAAATGAAAAGAGCAATCTAGGCGAAATTATATGTTCCTACAAAAGAGTAGTTTTTTTAAACCCATAGCTAAAACACCCGAATATGTTAAGCTAGTGGGATACAAATAAGTATTTATGTAGACACAAAATAAGAAAGACGAGATTGTAAGATACAAAGCAAAACTTTCGATACAAGAGTTTTTACAAAGAACTTACATTGACTATGAGGAGACATATTCTCCTATAATGGATGCAATTATATTTTATTATCTTATTAGCATGGTAAAATATATGAAAAACATTCATATGCATGTATTTAATGAATGTGATCACAATTTATTTGTTCATTTGAGATGAATCAATGTGAAAGTCCTAGAAGGACTTAACATGCCGAAACATGTAATATATATTCTCGAGAAAAGAATTCAATTAAATTATAGAGATCTCTATTAGGATTATTTTAGTATTTGTTTTATTATTTTATTTTTTAGAAATTCAATTTATACTTTTTATATTTTATTTTTATATCTACTGTTTATTACTAACCCGTGTGCATGTGATATAATCACTTCAATGATTATTTATTGAAAGAAAGTTATAAAAAATATCCCTATTTGTTCATATGTTTTTATTTGAAAAATGGTTTGTTTTATATGTTGATAACTTAAATATTATTAGAACTCCCGAAGAGATTCCAAGTGTCATAACTTACCTAAAAAAAGAATTTGATGTGAATATCTTGGGAAAACAAAATTTTATCTTAACTCGCAATTTGAGCACTCGGAAAATGAGATTTTCATTCATCGATCAATTTATATCGAAAAAGGTTCTATAATGATTCTATATAAAGATCATTCATTGACTAGCTCAATGGTAGTTCATTCAATTGATATCCAAAAAGATCATTTTTGACCTCGAGAAGATAACGAAGAACTACTTGGTCCCGAAGTATCATATTTTAGTGCCACTAGTGCATTGATGTATCTTGCTAATAATACTCGACTTGATATAGTCTTTTCTATAAATTTGTTAACAAGTCATAATTCCGTTTCAATATAGAGACATTGAAAGAAAGTTAAATATATACTACATTATTTTCGAGGAATAATTGATATGGGCTTATATTACTCCAATAAATCAAAGATAAGATTAATTGGTTATGCGGATACGGAGTTATTTATCTAATCTACACAAAGCTCGATCAAAGCTGGTTATATATTTACATGTGGAGATACAACTATATCTTGGCGTTCTATGAAGCAAACTATAGCTGCCACATCTTCAAATCATGCGAAATATCAATTCACGAGGTAAGTCGAGAATGTGTTTGGCTAAGATCAACGATCCATCGTATCCAAGAGACATGCAATTTATCTACCAACGAAAAGAAGTTTCAATAATATCATACGAGGATAATGTTGCTTGCATAATTCTATGGAAGAAAGAATACATCAAAGTGACAATCCAGTAGATTTATTCACTAAAGCATTACCTACCACAACTTTTGAGAAGATGATTCACAAGATTGGAATGCATCGTCTTAGAGATCTTAAATAATGCCTTCAACAGGAGGAGATCAAAATAGGGATTAATGTGTGCAAGGAATATTATACTCTTTTTCCTTCACTAGGATTTTTTTCCCACTGGGTTTTTTTCTAGTAAGGTTTTAACGAGGCATGTTCCTTATACAATGGACATTCGAGGGGAGTGTTATGAAATAATGAATGTCCATCATCATGTTCATCCACTTTTCATATCCCCACTACTCTTGATTCTTAATATGATTCAATTCATCATTCAATATGAGAAATTGAAAGGATGATGCAATTGATTATTCACGAGTCCCTTCCAATTCTCTCCTCAATTTTGAAGCCTATAAATAGGCTTGATTGTTCATTAGTTGGTGTACAAGTTTCCTAGAGAGAATAAGAGAAACTTTGAAGTTCTTATCACGTATATTCACATTATAGTGATTTCATTTTCTTGTTATCATTTTTTTCAATTCTCCTATCATTTCTATTTATTTTATAACGGATAATAGATAGAAGAACTATTATTACATATATTAGATTCAATTAAAATAGGTAGAGTGATTAGTTTTTTCTAAAGATATTGAAAAACCCCTCAAAATCACTATTAAAGAATAGAGGGACAAGATTAAGATAAATAAAACAATAAAGCAACATCCCGAATCTTTAAATTGATAACAAAATAGACCTAACTTACCATCACAAAGCAACTCAAATGTGAAGTCTAACACAACTTAATACCCCTTACCAAGCTCGCTTAATGATCAAAGTTAACTATCATAATTGGATCATCAAATCGGATTTATCCGAATAGATAATGAATACTTGTTCATAAAAAAAAGAAGAAGATAATGGATAGAAGAACTATTATTAAATATATTAGATTCAATAAAAATAGGTAGAGTGATTAGTTTTTTCTAAAGATATTGAAAAACCCCTCTCAAAATCGCTACTAAGTTTATATCAATTTGACAAATGAGTCTTATGAAAGTGAGTCAAATTTCAGTCTATGTTTGCAAAATTTAATCAATTCAACTTAATTGGATTAAATTTCATCAAATTATAAGATGAATGGCAATTAAGAGTTCAAAAAAAAAAAAAGAGGAATAAAGCATTAATATTTTTCACAAAAAAAAAAAAAAGAATTTTGACAAAATTTTAATAATATAATAACTCCTAGATACAGTTAGTAAGTTTTTTATAACGTTAAAGTAAACAAATTTATTTTTTTAAAAGAAAAGTTCTAACTTTTAAAATCATTTAAGAAAAAAACATATCTTAAACAATTTTTACAAATTTTACAAATAACAATTTAGCCACTTTGAGTTGAATTGACTATATCACAAGACGAAATTTGACCAAACTTTTTCGTCAGAGCTTACTTGCCAAAATGATACGAATGCGGGGCAAAGTTATTGATTCCATCACAACTCGCAGCTTTGGAACATGAAAAAGCAGTAAAGAATAACACTATGCAGACTGCGGAAAGCTAAGAACCGGACCGAACCTGATAACCTATTGATATTGACAAAGCACAACCGAATAACAAATAATGCGTCCCGACGTCTGCCATGATGCACTTAAAATTTCCCCCTTTTTTTCCTTTTCGGTGACTGAAATTGAATGTGTCTCATTCGATAGTCGCTAAAACAGACCCGACTTTGGTTCATATTCCCTACTCCCCCAATGAGGCCCAATTTTGGTCCAGAGTAGAGTCCCAACTTCTTCAATCGTGGGAGCAACAATTAACAGAGAACAAATTTCCTTCCACCATTTTTTTTAATGCAAAATTCCATTTGAAAACACCAATGGCCATTCCAGTAATTGATACAACAAAAAAATGAAATTGGAAACGGGATACATGCATATATCTAAACAAATGATTGTGTAAAATCAGTAGGGAAAAATGGTTTCTGTCTGTCATGACGGATCAGGATCCAGTTTGGGAACAATAGCAGATGAGAGCTCTATATGAGAAACACGGACGGCACCTATCAACCTCTCTGGCAATTCTTCTGTAGCATTAGCCTGTAGAAAAGAAATGGTGATACAAAATTAACTATAAAACTTGCAAAGGCCAAGAAAACCGAAGTTGCAGTAATCTCCATCCACCTCTATATACATAAATCTCAAAGCATGAGAATAGATGACAAATATCGTCTGAACAACTATTCAATATCTCAATGCACTCGAAGCAACACTCCCATCTCTCATATTCTTAGCAACTACATTTTGCTCCACTTGAATGCTGAGTGAAAGAGCTCTCAACTCTAATGCCAAATATAATGGTCTTGGCATATTGTAGTTGTGCATTTAGACACCCCAACTACTGCAGTTGCTCTGCAACTTAATATTCATTAAAATCAACCTGCTAATATGTCGAAAATTTCAGCATAGCCGGGGGAAAAGAAAAGGAAAGGAAAGATAGATCATATCCTTGTAAGCATATTACATTGTCCACGACAAGAAATGAGATTAAAAATAGAAACATTTTATTTGGAATCCCTTTTTTTCCCTAGTGGACACTGCTTCTCCAATCCTTTCATCTATTTCCTAAGGCCATCTATTGGAGTAAAAACTGCTACAAAAAGAAAGGTTAAGAAGAACGATGTTGAAAAGTATCCAACAGAACCCAAGGGATTACTCATCAAATGACATCAGTGTCCAGAGCCAAGAAGCATAAAACATGAAAGTGATATCCAAAGTGCTTCCTTTCATTTTATTTTGTACAGCTAGAAACTCTTCAAACCAAATTTTGTATAATTATTTGAGATGGCTCCATAGAACAGAGCACAAATACCTGTACAAGGAAAGCCATGTCAACCACCAATGTTGTAATTACACCAATTACAAGCCCCAAAACTCCATTTGCAACAGTAGAAGAACCAATATCAACATCAACCTACAGATACATAAACCATGATAGACCATACCATCAGTGCTGGCCAAACAACTCACAGGCAATATCAGGTGCTGAACAAAATTGGATGGTGTTACCTCTAGGTAATTGGAACCACGGATATAATTGCAATCAACTGCTTTTCCCAATAAGCAAGGGGTGCTTCCAACACTCTGCCGCACAATCCATGAACCCTGCATGATTCATTACAGAAAGCAACTCTTTAAGTCATTTTCATTGGCTCAATCAAATCTTAAAAATGTATAGTAGCCAACTGTGTTCCAACAATTTTGCCAACATGGTTACATGTCTATTCATACAGAAAACCAATCATGATATACTAATCTTTTAGCATGTTTGGCAATTAAAAGGTAGTTCCTAAGAGCTGATCAGCATTGCTGCCCAACAACATTGATCATGCATACTTATCTAGCTATAAGTCTATAACAATACAGGTTCTGATGGTCCTGACATCCTGACAAAAGCACTTTCCAAGCATAAGGAACAGAAAGAAACGAGTACCTTGGGAACTGATGGAATAAGCTTAAACCTACTGTTGCGGAATTCATCATCACCATCAACAAACCGTTGCAAGAGAGATCCAGGTACTAATTCCTTTGTCACAAAATAAAATACCATACTGTAGTGTGTTGAACCAGGTACCTGTCAAAAGAAAAAAACAAAATTATTCTTGTCCAGCCTCCAAATGCTACAATAGAAATTCACGCCAAGTTAAATTAACTTACTTGCAGATTAAAAATCACAGAGAAAAGTCCTTTCTCTGAAGCAACCTACACAAACATTTAGAAGTCCATAACATTTACAGCCTTAACAGAATTAAAAACCATAAACTTGCTAAAAATTATACTATCAACAAAAACATAGTTGACCAAGTTTTTCGATCTCTAAGGACTTTGGATGATTAATGACTGAAAAGTGAAAACAGCTTTAAACCAAAAAGAAACTAGCTCAAGCTTGATCAAGTAATGGTTTTATTTAACAAGGTTCATTATCTGGCAAAATGTAGGTGAAACTGGCTGCAAGGAGTAGCAGATAGGTGTCGATAATCCACCTTTTACGTATTATTATGTCTAACATAATGAAAAATCACTCCAATTCCCTGAAATGATATAAGCTTTGATATTTTGCAACACAGATAGGATCAGTGCATGGTAAAAGCACATAGGGTTCCTGACATGACGACTACACACAAAATAAAACTGTTTTACCAAAGTCAATTTGGAAGTCTGAAATGAACAACACAAAACAATGAGGGGGAGGGGTACGCCGGAGAGGTTCTTACTTGCGCTGCACATCCTTGACGCCTGGCAACATGATCCATTCTTTTTGTATCTTTGAACCAATCAACAGCAACAAGATCCATCAAATGTTTTCCTGCAGGGACCTTCATACGCAAATTGCATAGAATGCAACTAGAATGAGCCTAACAAGTTCATAAGATGGTGACTTTGTAACTCCAGAAAATATATATTCAAAGGAAACATGAAGAAAATATAAGAGGACCTTTGATTTGTCAAAACAAAAACGCTTGCTGCGAACTCTGAAGTTGTTTCCATCAGATATTCGCCAGCAGTCACGGGCATTGTCACGGTCATCACGACGTAGATTGCCCGAAAAACAGGATAAATCAATTTGATCAACTGGTTCTTCTTCCAAGGCTGTTAACAAGATTTTTATTTAATATCCAAATAGTGCCACTAAAGATTGAACTTATTGAAATGAATAAAACAGGCTTTCAGTTGTCATCCACCTGTTCTCTTTGCATCGTTCTCATGCTTGGTTCGGTAAGCCTGAAAATTGACCAAAAAAAAAGTGTTTACAAGACAATGTACAAAATCAGATAGGGAATGAGCCCAAGGTGTACCTCTTGTTCTTCTTCAGCTATTTGAAATTCTTCATCCTCATCGGAGTATTCATCCATCATTACAGAGTTTCTGCTAGCAGCATTCATCTGATCGAGAGAAGGTGGAGTAGGATGAACAGAAGATTCTTGCAGCTTTACATTTTTCTTTGATGAAGTAGAAGCTGAAGCCATATTAACCATAACAGGTATTCTTGGAGGGGCACCTCTCTCATCTGTTTGGGAAAACCATTCACGCAATCCTGCCAGAAAATGCAACAAAAAGATTATAAACCAGAAAAAGTAGCAGCATTCAGATTGATCGAGTGCTTGCATATGTGACCAACATAAACTACCAAAGTGGAACTAAAAGCAAAAATGGAACTGTTACAAGTTCTTGTACTTCTTTTTTGTCTGATAATTTCAAAATTATACTTTTGGCGTCACCACTATTTAATCACCATCAATGACAAACAAAAAAAATTCACTGTGAATTGGTGGACCCCACAAAAAGATCATATCAATGAATAGGACAGTAATCATCGAAAACAAAGAAAAGAAAAGGTTTAATAGACTAACTACAGTCACTTGGACACTGATATGCTGTGAATTCATAGAAATTAGAATTTCATGTCATTCCTCCAATCATAAGCTAGACGAAGTAAAAAAAGAAAAGGCAATGCTGAATGAACTACTACAGTAGCTTGGGTGCTGAAAGGATGCATTATAGAAAATTAGAATTTCAAGTCATTCCTGCAACCCCAATTATGAGAATAAATAGACTATTTGCAATACTACAATTGTCATAGGAAAATTAGAGATATCTTATTTTATAGTCTATCTTAATTAGAAAATCTACTTATTTCAGGCTATTATAATCTTTAAGAGTATTTAAGAGATTTTATTATGTTTAGTATTTTATTTTATTTCTTATTTTATTTAGGGTTTCATTAGGGTTTAGTGCCAACATAAGGACTCCTATTATCATGTTTAACGACAGTTGACTTATTATGGAGATCTGAAACTTCTGCTTTCATACAGTTGTTCTCTCTCTCTTTCTCTCCTTTATCTCTTCCCCTGTCTTACTCTACTCCTCTGCCCCTTTCTCCCCTCTTCTCTACCCAATTTCCTCTGTAGCATTCTGCTTTTCCCTTCTCTTTACTGTTCTACATCACCTAATACCAGCTTCATAACTAAAGGACGTACACAAAGCATGAACCCGCAGCAACATATAGTGTTTTAAAATTTTAGCAAATAAAAGTGACATCAATTCCTTACAACAATGGAAGATTTAGGTGAGAGAATTTGTAGAACTCACCAGCAACACTATTTAACATCTGAAGAAGACAATGTTGTTGAAATGATGAAACATAACCCACACCCCATCCTTTTAGATCAATCTGCATAAGATGCTGCACCTGTGTTCTGGGTTTCCCATTACGAGGTTTCAAAGGGGAAATATTGAAACCTCCACCTGTAAAAGTAGGATATAGCCAAAAAATAAATATCTAAACTCTGATCTTAGGTTTTTAAAGCATAAACCGAAGGCACAAATGGAACTCACTCTCGATATGAGCCCGCACATAACCTGGTTGTGGACCACAGTTCTCATGCACTCTAGAACGAAATAGAACAACTGCACAATAACAAAAAGGAAATTTCTAAAGCTTGTGACAAGTTAGAAGATCAAATGAGGTGTGGACAAGCCAAACAATTTACCATAGCTGCCGTCATCATTTCGCCGCCAATATCTCACATAGCAAAGGTCACGTGGCCACACAAATCTGCAACCCGTTCATTGGTAAGTAATAAAGAACAAGAGAATGCTATGAATTATTTCAGGCCCTTCATATTTATATTATATAATTTTTATTTTGAGCATGTAAATCACGAAAAGTCAATTAAGCCATGGTTCAGACATGATTATATTGCGATGCTGTTATACTGCATAGCCAATCTTTTTGAGATGACTTGATTATATATTTTGTTAAATTAGAGGCAAATTTTTATCTCTTTGGCTGATAAGAGTTAGAAACTTAGCACATCTGTTTCTTTGCCATTATATTGAAGTTCTTACACAATTTCATGAACTTGTAATCTGTAAGTCATTGTTTATTCATAGTTTATTCATAAAATTGATCTAATGCAGATGCTAATACATAAAATACCTACTTATCAGCATATTCTCATTGCATCATATCTCAATTTTTTAAGATCAGCACGGATCCAGCATTTATATCCATGTTTCATAGTTTAAAAACAAACCAAAATCGGTAATACCTATTAGGGCTGTAACACAACTAATTCCAGTGCAAAAGCGGAGGGACAAAAAAAAGGGCAGAATAAAATACAAGCTCACTTTTGAGTTTGATAAGACTATTCAATATTTCACACCCAGAACAAGATCAATAACACTAGTATGAAATAATTCCATTTGATCATAATATGCGCAAGAGAGTGATTTATTTGGGAAAGAATATTACATAGGAAACCAGTCCAGCTGAAGTCTATGATAGAGTATTGCTGTATGTCCATCTACCTCTTCAACTAAACTACCATACTGGAAACTGCAATCCCACCTGCACAAGGCAGGAAAAAAATTGTGTAATGAATTGCTTAAGCACACACATCATGGGCAAAACATGAGAGAAAAAGTGAAAACCAAACAACTCCATTAAAGGAATTACACTAGTGCTTCATGAATAAGTCTACATGATGGAATAGCTATGTTATACTTAGAAAAACACTCCCCACTCTGGAAACCTGAAGCTGCATCAAGTGATTCTTCATCAAGCAAGAAGTCTTTCTGGTCAAAAAATAAGTGTCCTTGGTAGATTTCTTTGTATGGGCTTTACAATCTTTAGTTGTGGGTTATTTTGTAGGCAAAGGCAGAATTGTAATTTCCACATGTTCTGGGGTCATTTTAGTAATTTGCAGAATTACTTGAAGGTCTGGGCTTATTTATGAATTTAGTGTCTTAGTTTTTAATAGTTTATTCCTGTTTAGTTTATTCCCTGGTCAATTAAGGATTAGTTATCCTAGTCTTTTAGAGTCTTAATCTCTATGAATAGAGATGCTATGTTTTAATTTTCAGCAAAGTTGAGTTAGGCAATAAATTGAGTTTTAGAGTTATTTTGAAGGCTTGGTGCCAAGATGTCTTCTTTGTCCTCTTGTTCTTCTATTTTCTCCTATTTTCTCTTCTTTCTTGTTTTCTTATTCTGCTGGTACAGTACTGTGAATTACCATACAGCCTAATTTCTCCTTATTTCTTCCTAAACAAGCTCTATTCTACCCTAATTTCACAAACAATAAACCCTAGCTCACCTCAAATCCTTTGTAGAACAGAGACCTCAAATCTGTCCTACATCACTACATACCGTGAATTAAGAGTTTAGGATGCCTGTGAAGTACATGTGTAGAACTGGAATTTATAAACACAAGGTAATTACACAGTATCTTATCAATCTAGCACGTGGAAATACACACATGAGCACGCTTTTTCCCACCAAAGAAAGATGCCACTGCATCTTGTTTTTAACCAAACAATATTGCTGACTTTCGATATGATCAGAATTAGAATTAAAACTCGGAGCATAAGAAAAGTCCACTATATGATTCAGTTAAAACAAGCTGCATTAATCACGCATACCATCTAAAATGACCACCAAACACTAGGTAAGCATCAGAGACCTAGTCAGGGTGAGGTTTGACTACTAGCCCACACCCCACCCAAAAACACGGTTCAGATCATAAACTGATAAAATTTTGTTGTATCAGTAACGAGTAATACATGGTGTGCAAGACAAGCAAATGGATATTATGGGGATAGATTACTGATATAAGTCTCAGCCTTTCAGAATAGTACATATGACACTAAAAAAGTTTTACATAAATAGTGTTTTGTGATATCGTATATCTTGATTAAAGGTTTTCAAAGTTGTTCGAACATCAAGTTGCATGAGCACTTGTGTCTAATCTACTTTTAACATTATTAAAGTTTCCAAACCATCTCAAAAGCAAACACCTTCTTGCAAGCCTGAAATACTCGTACACCCAAAAGCACAGGGGTGTGTGTGTGTGGAGAGAGATACAGAGAGAGAGAGAATGATTTTTGTTGCATAAACAATGCTTCTAGAACCATGCTATTAAATTTGGGATGAAAGAGGAAAACACCTACTCAAACCGAGTAGCATCCATGCTCATTATAAGTTCAAATATTTCTTCACAGCTAGCCTCAACAACACCTACAGCTTTCATTGCTCGACTACAGCTCCTTGGCTACACCACAAAAGCAAGTAGTAGTGTCAAAACCAAATGACAGCCTAATACACAGCAAAACGAAGTCATTCACTTAATGGAAATGACTACACAGTTCCTTACAAGGTAATCGACTTCAAGCAGCTCTTCAAAAATGCGGAGTCCTGTCACATACAGGCAAACATTGGCAATAATCAAAACTGCTATGCTTCCTTGGATATCATCAATGTAATGAACTGCTAAAAAATGCAAAAGGCTAAGAAAAATAAATCACCATTTTGGCACTGTAAAAGACGCCAATGCTTTCTAGAGAATGCTTGGTTGTCGGCATTCTGGTTTGTCAATTCTGAGTCGAATTCTTGTGTCCAGTCAAATACTGAAGCAGGAGGACCTGCAAATAAAAAAAAATGACTTGCTTGAAGACTACATCAAATTACTTGAAGTCAATAAGAGAAGGAAAGGATGAGAACCATTTCCAATGGTTGTTCTCCGCAACAAATTTGGATGACTGTCATCTTCATCCTCCTGTGCACTGAACCTGCAATCAATCATTTTCCATCCAAGATTTCCACATCAGTTAGAGTAACTAATAAAAATAGCACCAACAGCAGTTTGAATGATTGATAAAACTAGAACTGACTATTGTGATAAGTATAACAGTACAAAATGCTACCTTAAAATATAGTAAAAACTTTACAATATCAGGAGAGATGAAAAAAATTGTATTTAAACCTAGCAAAAATACAGAATAGGTTTTCCAGTATCTACTCCACCATACAATGGCAAGCAAAGAAAAAGTTCTAAAAAGGCAAAACTGCATTACAGCTAACACAAGCAGAGAAATAACGTTGAACAGGCACTCACTGACTTTCACGATCTGATGAAGAAGCAGTCCTCCCATTATCCATCCCAGATTTGTATTCGAATGAGACATATTTGTTACCATTGGGAACTTGGGACTCCTGATGCTGCATATATATTAGCAAGCAATGAGTCTTACATAAATCATTTGATTCAGTTACCTACCATGTATATGAACGAATGAAATCGAAAACTGTTCAATAAAGAGGCAACTGAAATTTTTTTAGTTCACCAAGAATACTTAACATTAGAATGGATAATCAAAGCAATCGTCATAGAAGCAAAAACTTTAAAAGGAAAATGTATAATTGCTATATCATGAGAGCCTGAAATTAAAAACCAAATGAAAAAAGGGAGTTGGACATGCAACACATTCTGAAGCATACTGACCTGATCAATTACAAATTCAATTTTTTCCTTCCAAATCAATGCTTCCTGGATATTAAATGCTGCCATCTGGAAAAAGAAAACAGCTCACAAAGGTCGTATTTTTTCAGTAACAATTCTGATGCCACAATAAACGAGTAACTAATGAAGCACAGAAAGTTAATTATGTTGTAATCAGAGGAATATCTCATTTCTGCACATTTCTAAGGCAGATAACAACAAGAAGTGCTGTTACAATAACAAGGGTAAATGAGGGTGAAGAAAAAATCAAGGAGGGCCTCATAATATTTTTTTGCAGTTTTCCAGCTCCAATGATCTTAGGTGATCATTAATTTAAAAAAAGAATTGGATCAGCAGGAAGCCACAAAAAATGATTGAAGGCTCAATAGAAAACTGTCAAAATATTAAAACCAAAATTTAAACTAATTTTTATCAGTGGCAGATTAAAGAGCATCCACCACTTCAAAGTCCAAAGGTAAGACTTAAGTGCAGAAGCAAAGGAAAAGGTAATGCTATAGAACAGATACACACTTCTTAATTTGATTTCTAAAACAGCAGCACAAAAATAGCTGGAAGTCTAGGGGCAAAAAAAAGATAGCATCTCAATTCACAATTTCAAAAACCAAAAGCACAAAACTGCTCACCGTGATTCGATTATACTTGTCTTTCTTGTCATAAATAGATAGAACATAAACCATCTGCAGTAAAAAAGAAAGAAAAGAAAATTTATCAACATAAAATTCCACAAGTTTCATTATAGCAATTCCTCATTAGAAAAATAACATTACAGCTTGCTAAGTAAGCTATTAACAAACAGCATCCAGTTTGAGAGAAAGCAAAGTCACTAGAAAGACAGAGAGCAGCAAACTACTAATTAAAACAACTCCAAAAAATCACCAACAGCCGAAAATGCAGTTTCATTACAATCCATGAATCACAATATTTACAAAACGTTTGCTTAACTTTCAGTTCAAAATGAGCACATCCACATTAACATGAACAAAGATAGGATTAGCATAGAACCGACTAGTAAATGACTCCTAGTCCGATTCACTGACAATGCATCCTCACCATAATTCCAATTAAGTAACAGGAACATAGAGAAAGCACAACTTACATGTCCATGGTGAGTCTTCAAGCCTCGATCCTCTACTCGACAATTCCCATCAATCAACAAGGTTTTGATTGGTACCTAAAAAGTTTAAAATTCAATAAACGCTTTATAGTAGCTCGATACTTCCATTCCTTTTATTACTTCTAAATAAACGAAAAAATTCACATAATAAAAAAGAAAAAAAATTACCCGATTATCTTGTGGTTTCTTCTTGTAATAAGCAAGAAGCCTAGGCTCCAAAACGAAATACCTCATATGAATGAACGATCTCCCGATCTTCCTCCTTCCATACCTCACCATCCACCCTTCATATATCACTTTAGACATAGTTTGCCCTCTCCAATCAACCTTATTTACACACTAAATACCAATCTAATTCTCTAAAAACAAAATTGAAATTCAATCTCGCAGAATTGGAAGCTCAGATTGGGAAAAATCTTTGCTTGCCGTTCCTGCGAGATCAAAAACACCGTTACAAAAAAAAATAATAATAATAAAATAAAAATAAAACTAACTGACTTGATCTCTCATGGCTAGAATTGAAAGCAGTCTATAGCTGAATGAAGGATTGGAATTCTCATTTTCAAATTCCACATTTTCGATGATTCCAAACGCGACTATTTGACTTTAAACGAACAAACACGCCAAAAGAGAATAGAGAAAAAAAAAAAAAAAGTATACAGGGGGAGTAAAAGGGAGGAAAAAGAGTAATTATTGTGTAGTTTTTAAAAGGGGGAATTGAATTTTCAAAAGAAGAAAAATATCAATAGAGACGGATTCGAGCAAATACAATAATTATTTATATATTTTTTAGAGAGAGAGTAAAACTGAAAAATACAAAAAGATTTTAAAGCGAGAGAGTTAGTTTTAGGTGAGTAGCGATATCAGTCGGGATCGGGGAGGGAGGTGGAAACGACGACGTTTTTCGAAGGTGGATCCTGAAGGGGAGTGATCAAATAGCGGTGGGATTCGGGAGAGGTTTTCACCAACGGAGTTGAGAGATCCCACGTGGGTTAAAAGAATTAGAGTTGACACGTGGGAGTCTGTGATTGGTGGACAGATTGTAAGGTATCTTAGCGCCGTCCACGCTTTTAAAATTTTTGAAAAAAAGGTTGGCCCTTTTTTTTTTTTTAATCACTTTTATCATACGGGCTGGATCTTAGAGAATGGTTACGACACTGCATGTGTACTAGAAATTTGAGGAGATCGTGAGAAGGAGATAGGAACTGTCCATTTGGCCCGAGTTGTTGCTTTAAATGAATTAATAATGATATCATCAGGCTAATTTTTGAAAAGACTTAATCTACGTGAAAACTTGGATTTTTTCCCATCAGCTATCTAATATATTATATGTTTTTCCCTTTGAGATTAACATATGTATGTACAATAAATTATATTTTATGAGAGATTATAAAATGAAGTACTTTAGTTTTTAATTTTTGTTTCACATAAACACGTTTTTTATCGAAGCCTAATATTACATTCATCAATAGCAGGATTTCTTAATGCTTGTTTAGTAAGATACTGATTTTACCTTTTTTTTTTAAAAAAAAAACAATTAAAGTTTGTTATGCTTTAAAACCGAAGTACACGATTTGTTCGTTTGAGTAAAAGTATAGCTTTTAAGAGTAGAGTGTAATCAATTATCAAATATAAAACAATCTTTTTTTATTCATACACTGTAACATCGAACAATCGAACATTTTTTAATTCATAAATAACACAGTGCAGTAATCAGATCACAACATACACGTCACAATGGAACAGGCCCCGAGCAAAGCTTTCTCAATTATTTTCTTGAATTCGATCGAAGTCCAGGTGGCAAACGTGAACAGTGTACATAATGACGATAGACGAAAGACCTCGAAGACAGTCCCATGCTTGTTTTGATTTTTGAAATTTGACTTATCGAATGACTTTATGGCTCTCTCTCTCTGTTTTTTTTTATTTTCTTTTCTTTTATGGGTGCATGAACCAGTGGGACGAAAAAATGATTGTTGACGCGTTACTCGAGAAGAGGCAAAATTGTCTTATCACGAGAAAGGACAAAAATATTTCATAATATGGCTGGTGTGCCCCCCCGAGGGTGAAGCCTTCATTCACGCTCTTTTTTGTACGAAGACGAATCTGGGTTCATTAGAAATGGGCTAGCCCAGTAGATAAAGGAATTGTAAAAACCTAGAAAGAAGGGTCCACGATTAGGGACTAGTCAAACCCTGATCTAAAGTTGACTAGTCTAGAGAGCAAAGGAGCACCATCGCAGCCCAAATTGATGTGCCTTGGGTACCGACTACCCACCACATGACAGCTGTATTTCTTGACTAGTCCCACGCGCCACCGCATTACTAGTGTACTAGTAACCTTGATTCTGTATTTACAATCCTAATTTGAAAAAAGGAAAGAAGTGACGATGATCTTGGGAGTGAATATTTAATTAATCCTAAGACTTATATGATTACAAGTCTTTTAATAATTTATTGTTTTTATTCGTAACAACTTTCACTTATTCCGAAAGGTTTTGTTCAACCAAAAAAACTTCAACATATCCTGCAAGTCAAAAGTCACAGAAATGGTAATCGTTTTTGGGACATCTCTGGTGAATGCAAAAGGATTACTTTGACATCTTGTTAGGTCATGATCGAATGGGTAGCATCCTCTTTTCTCATGCATCTGCATGCATGTGAGAAAGTCAACATTTTCTCTTGTTTAGTTAAATCCCGATCTTGATATCTTGGTATATTAACGTCCTCTTTCGCGCAATTATGCGAGATCCATCTCGGCAATTACCAGTGATAAATTTTACTTGGTTTAAAAAGGATATGCGTACAGTGATTTCTCTCGTTCGAACTAGTTATTAGACCCTATTACCGCAGCTCCCCCATCTCAACAAGGTAGTGACAAACAAAATACTTTCTGAAATATTTTTACAAAGTGGACATAGATTTTTTAGAGAATCTCTGTTATCTTTTAACAAATTATAAGGGTTTTTTTTTTTTTTTACCTGCCGTTGAGATAAAAGGTTCATTTTACTCTTTTCTAAAAAAAAAATTTTACCCAACACTTCAAATTTTAAAAATAGACCAATGTTGTTTTTGTGTGAAGAAATGAGCTTTTCGCAAAATAAATAAATAAATAAATTGTTTAAGGCTTTTTTTCTTTTTTAGTTTTTAGGAATTTTTGGTTTTTTTAAAAAAATCAATGAAAAAAGTGTTTGGAAAAATTATTAAAAAAAAATCTATTTTGACAACTAAAAGCTATTGGTTATAAAATAAATTTTTTGGGCTTTTTAAGTTTTATATAACATATTAACATCCTACTAAACATTGTTACTATTACAACCACAACTATAAAACCAAATTGATATGATGGATTAATTGGAAAATCCAACTATTCGAAGCTTAGTTTGGATTAAGTTTGAAGTTAGCTTGGTTAAAAAATCGATCTAATTTCAAGACTCAATCAAGTCAAAATATTGATTTAAAAAAATTAAAGAAAAAACAAGTTGTTTGTGTATGCCTTGAACTTTGGTTTCATTTTATCAACTACAAAAATATGATTGTAACAATCATAACTACAATTACCGTAACACTCTCGACCTAGGACGTAAATAGATCAAGAATATTATCGACATTCATTTATATTTTAAATGCAATGAATGCAAATCAACAAGTCTTCTTACTTTAACTTACAAAATTACTAGCAAAAGTGGTGGTTTTTATATAAAGTCTCTAATAAATAAGAAGTAATAGGTCCCCATTAATTAAAACTCAAGTATAAAAATTTAAAAAAATTGTTCTAACACCAATTAATAATTTTACTTCATGTGTAGAAATATTAAATACTAAATTTAGGTAAAAAAAAACTCATGTTCTTGAATTTTAATTTAATCATTTAAATTAACATCTTAAACTAAAATGGATAGTAACATGTATATTAATTTTTTCAAATTCCTTCTAAAAATTCATATTTAATTTAAAATAGAAATATTTAATTTCCAAATACTCTACAAAACATGATAGGATTATTCCACATTATTTTCCATCCAAAAGGAATTTAATTATAATATATTCAATTTAATTAAAAAATGATCAATACATATTAAACCATTAAATCTTGATTTAATGCCATTATTTTTATAAAAATTCTATCGGCTAGAAATTGGTTTAATTAATTCAATTAAGTACTTAATAAATTCATTTAGACCTTTAATTAGAGTTTTGACCATTCAAAACATTTTTTTGGACTTATGAAACTTTGGTTCCAAATTTATTTAAACTAGCCTATTAAATTCATTTATTCATTAACCATTAAATTTCAATTAATACCTTAACCTTTATAACTATTTTTACCTTACCATTTTAATTTCATACTCTTGACCACTAAGACCTTAGCTATTAAACCCATTAAACATTTAATTAATGGTTTCATTTAAACTCAAATTAATTCCATTACTTACTATATTAATTTCTTAAGTCCAATTCAATCAATTAAGTAGCCAATTAATTCCTTAAGCTACCAAACTAAGCAACTAAGGACATAATGTAACGCCCCTAACTCACTTACTATGTCCCAATAGGAGCGGCTAGGTTTGTTACATTATTAAGCCTAAAATCCCAACTAGTTCCCTATAATACATAACCGAAATTAAATAAATATTAAGCAATGGAATACGTACAATAAAATTTATGTGGTACTAATAATTGCAATCACAAGGATTACAAAATATCTACGATGCCGACTACCCACAAATAGGGAACAAGTATCCCTTATCTACAACCCTTCAAAAGATTCCTCTAATTTTGGGTAGCACATGAGTTCTTTTAGTGAGAATCGGTAGCTTCTTCGACATAACTATCTTTGTCTTTACTCGTTACACCACGGAATAACAACAACAATATGAGCCAAAGCTCGGTAAGTAGGGTGATGCACGTAATATGTAATGATTTCTTACTACCCTAAATTCATCCATTAATTTTAGTTCGAGTATCCTAAGTATTAGCAAGTCCACTCTATTTCCATCTCTCATGGATCGCCTTATCACCTACTACTAACAATGAAATTATCTATCATTGTAACACATGATTAACGAAATTTTCCATCACATAATCGTGTAATTAAGTAATAGAGCACGCACATAGCTTCATTACTAATACCCATTTAATCAAGTTTCGGTTACCAAATCTTATCGATTCTCAACCATCCGATTTTTTAATTTACCCACAAATGCATGTGATGCACAATGATGTTTCATTTAC